TGCACATCAAAGGGAGAAGGAAGGAAAACTATACCGCATGATTTGACCAGAGTGAGTTTTCCCATTGGGGAGGATATTTTTTTTTTTTTTTTTTTCTGTGTGTGTGTGTGTGTTTCTCTCCCTCCTCTCTCTCCCCTTTCCCAGTGTGTGGGGCGGGGAGGGAAACCCATTTTCAGTTTCTCCAATACACCCCGGACGGTGTCACCCCATGTGGCAACGAGCAGTGATTTCACAGTGCCCCCTGCTGGCCAGAATAACGAACTGCAGACTCTGCATTTCCAGTGATCCAACAGCACCACCTGGTGACTGGCACAGGACACTACAAGCTCTGCATCTCTCGTGATCCAACAGCGCTCCCTGTTGACTGTGGTTAGAATTGCACCAAAGGGCGCTAACTGAACTGTTTACTTTTTTTCCTTTGCTTGTTTATTGGTTTGTTTTTAAGGGGATTATTTGTGGGTATAAGAGTATTGTTTGGTTGTTTTACTTGTTTTATTTTGTTGTTTCTGACAACACACATATCTTTTAATAAAGGGATGTTATTTTTCCTTTTTCCACATTTTTTTTCCCCTTAATCAGAGTCTCTTAATTTCGGATTTACAATTGCTTAGAGGGAGGAGTTTGGGTCTTCCTCATAACTCATCCTCAGCAAAACACCTGTGTCTCATTTAAACTGAGACACTTGTCCAGACGTTACTCAGCTTGATAATAGCTTCATCATCCAAGTTTCTTTCTTAAGACAGTAGAGGAAGTAGTAGTAATAACATTACAAGATTTGTCCACCGTTGATCAAGCAACATCTCAGGAGGATTACCATTCAGCAATTTGAATACAAAGAACCAGAGAAGTGTTCACAGCCCCAAGTCTGCCAGAGTTCAAGTAGCGTTTGGACAACGCTCAGGCATATGGTGTGATTCTCAGAGCTGTTCTGTTCAGGGCCAGGAGTTGAGCTTTGATAATCTGTGTGGATCCCCTCCAGCTCAGCATATTTTAGGAGGAATTTCTTCACAGAGAGGATTGTTAAACATTGGAATGGGCTGCCCAGGGAAGTGGTGGGGTCACCATCCCTGGAGGTGTTCAAGAAGCGAGCAGATGTGGCACTTAGTGCTATGGTCTAGTTGATAGGGTGGTGATTGGTCAAGGGTTGGACTCTGATCTTAGACGTCTCTTTCAACCTAAATTATGTGTGATTCTGTGTTCAAATTTCTTCACTGAAATGGTCGTGAAGCACCGGAACAGCCTGCTCAGGGCAGTGATGGAGTCACCATCCCTAGAGGGATTTAAAAGATGTGTTGATGTGGTGCTTAGGAACATGGTTCAGTGGTGGACTTGGCAGTGCTGGGTTAACGGTCAGACTCAATGATCTTAAAGGTCTTTTCCTTATAGTTCTGTGATTCCATGAACAGGCTTTACATACACGTCATCATTCTTTTACCTCCTACTGATCATCTGTTATCATCTTTCTAGCATGAACTTCCCAACGAGTTAGTTTATCCACACATTAAGTACACAGACAAATTCCAGTCAGTGCTGTGAATTCAGCTGATGCTATGTAATCAAAACCTGTTTAGGTTCCAATGGGTAACTGTTTTTAACATCAGTAACTGCACTTTACAACACCCAGATCCAACTGGTCATAGCAGGGTCTAACCAGATAGATAATTCATAGGATGCACCTATTCTGGGTGTAAATCAGGAATGTACATTTTTTAAAAAGTGTCCACCTGTTGACCTTTGCTCAGCAGGCTGCAGAACTTGGAAGGTACAGGTGGCACGAGACAAGACATTTCAGGCAGAGACAGGACTGCTTCATCGCTAAGTGCTCTCCTGGGAATCCAACCATGCATCTGCCAAAGATTAACAACGTAATAGTCAGTCATTACTTAAACTTATCCTGAGTTGTAGCTAGCAGTTTTCTCTTCATGTTCTGAGTGCTTGACTTGAAATCCTGGGTGCCAAGTTTGCAGGAGGGCAGACTCACAGCTGCAACTGGACTGAACAGGACACGTGCACTGAGCATGGCAAATGCTGCAGTACTGGGAAGTGTCCATAAGGGCCCAGGTACCTTAACTGAGTCCCACAACAGATTCTCCATCTGAATAATTCTGTGTCTCACATTGTAATCTACAGGGTGGATATAACAACTGTTTTTTGAGAATTCATTAGTGTTTGTGAAGCACTCAAATGCACAGAAAGGGCTGTAGGAAGTTATCAACTATGCATTTAAAGCAGGTTGAAGTGGGCAGCAAAGTAGGCAGAGTGCCATACTGAGCTATGTATTGGGTAAACGCTCCACAAACATCTTATATTGTGGACATTGCACACAGAAACAGGAGGGGAGAAAAGGATCATTTTATAAAGTACTGAGTGATAGGAAAAGACCAGCAGTGCAGGTTTACACAGCCAAGGCAAGCAATTGCCATCATCAGCAGCAGTTTGTTCTTGGCATCTTTCTCTGCAGTGACAAATTACAAAGAGCATTTACCAAGGAATGCAGCCACAGGGTGAGTGATTATATCCTCACCAAAAGCATCAGTGACACTGTAGCAACAGTAACAACAAACAACCCCTTTATGTACACATAACAACCCCCTTTTAAGGACCCAACTAAAGGTTAATCCAAATGAAATTTCATTTACAATCAAGTGACATTCCTTTTAGGATATGCCTTGGTGATCAGAGTGAGAGATTTTCCCTGTGCACATGTAGAAGTTACTTACATAAAGGTCATGCAGGCAAACTAATTAATTTTGTGCCTCCCAGTGTAGTTTTGTCTAAATGTAATGGCCATGGGCTGCCCATCATTGTCAGCCCACGGACTTCACAGGCCAGTAGTTTTGTAAGGTTTAACCTCCTGGTATAGATCACCACCAACATTGTCTTCATTTCTTGAGTTGATGGATTGTTCCACAGACAGTCCCCTATCTGTCTCCAGGCCTCTCCTTCTTAACATGGGAGTCTAGTGTCACTTATTTTCCTTGTGCTTCTTCAAAGGCCCCTGATGTACATGTATCTTCTGCTACCTGCTTGGGGCTGAGGCTCTTTAGCATCTCCTTCACAATAATAGGTTGCACTTTGCTCCTGCTGGATGCAACTATTTCACCTTAACCAATTCACCAGGCTCCCCCAAAACATACGGTGGCTGTGTGCCCTTCACCTTTCCCCAGCACGTGCTGGTGGGGAATTCGCTTCACCACAGAGCAGGCAGAGATCCCACAGTAGCCAGTTACATGACAGTCCCCATCACAGGTACCCCAGAGAAGCCTCCTTCTCTCCTGGCAGCAGCAAACAAATTCCTTTGCCCTCACCTCACTTCTTCCTCAGCCCTCTTGCCAGAACAGAGGCTTTTTTCTTCATGCCTACATGAAGATCTGGTGATTGAAGGAACAAGGAAAACCAGGGCAGGAAGAGCATTGCTGTCATCGCTGTGCTTGCACAGCACCCATTTCACACAAGGAAGCACATCTCTCACTCTGCCATCATTGATTATAGAAAGCCAGTTATTGTGGCTTGCATATCAACTTCAGTCTATTCCTTGAGGGTCTTTTAGATGATGTATAATGAGAAATATTTTTATGAGTATGGCAAATAAACTTCTACAAAATTTTAAAGTAGGTTTAGAAAGTGATAAAATCTCAGATAATAAGAAAGACAACAGAAAACAAGCAACATTAAAAAGCTACTAATAGTCCAGATCTATATATTTGCAGAATCTCATCCATATCACTGATAAAAATGAAGCCTGTTTAGCATAATAAGCATCAGTCTTAAATCTATTTTCCAGCCCTTGAGCATTTAGTTATTGTAGATCAGTTACCAATAAACAAATGATACTCTGAAGTATTCTAAGCTCTTCTTTAGCCGTGATTTACTGCTTTGAGTTCCATGAAATTGAACTGAAATATATATGCTCAAAAAAAAAAAAAAAATTAACAGGATAAATTAGACTTTAAGGATTTGATCCATAACATCAGAAAGTCACACTTCAAAAGGTCATGAATAAAAAAGTGTTGTTTACAGCAAAACAGAATCACATTCTCTAACTAATGCAGCTGACATTATTTCTGTAGTAGGCACCTTCTGCAACATGTGGTGTGACCCCAACTCTCACTGAAAATTACACACATCTACTTTTCTCACTGGTTTGCAGAAGGTATCTTGCATGATCACGCCTTCCAGTTAATTGGTAAATTCTCTAGACCATGTACTGTAATCTGAGTTTGACAAACAATCCAGCATAGCAGACCCTGGATTTGATTAGACCCTGCACAAAATACAGCAATACAAATATATCATTAATAATAACAAGCAGTACACATTTGGACTGAAAAATTAAAAGAAACATCCAAAAGTCTAAGAAATGAATCATGAACACAAAATGAAGTAACGGAAGTGAACTGGTCAGGGTTTTTTTCAAGTGTATTTTCTTTTCAATAAACTCTGATAAATATCATCAAAAGGGCATTTCAGAGCTTGAGCTTCCTAGTGCAAATGAAGGGTAAATGAACTGCAATAGACATTTGAGTTGGTTTGAGTCTTAATAAGTGGTGCCACATAATCAACTTTTCATACTAATACTCAAATTTGGAGATAAAGTGCACTGTGTACGTACAGTGATTACCATTGATTAGTATTTTACAGAAGTCCCTGCAAAAACATGAATAAAGTATTACACCACTGCTTACGAGCAGAGCTACTGCAAACTGTTGTGTGGCTCGGTCTCTCATTCTGCACATTGTTTATTCTAAAGAGGAGAGGATATTTTACAACATTTAGGGCATATATAAGATTTTGTTCACTAGGACATCAAGAGATTATTTTAAATCAATCAGACCAAACATATCTCAATCCTGATAAAATTGGAACATCAATTTATTTCTTAGAGTGTGGGGTGAGGATTATAATTAAGTGATCAGGGAAGAGATGCGTGTGCACATGCTCTGGGGGTGTTTGTCAGACAGTCTGAATCTCCTATCCTCTCATCCCAGAAAACATATTACCTGCATGTAAATGCAATTAGCTTCCAATTCCCACTCCTCCACAGCGAGGTTTGTAACTCAGTGTTTTATAACCCGTCTTCCACACCAAGGTCCCAGGTGGTAGAAGGAGTTAGTCAGCTTACTTTTGGTGTGTTTCTGAGCTGTCTAGCCCATCAGACCACACAATCCTGGAAGACAATGACAGTGTGCTGCACTCAAGGGGTGACCTCTATGCTCTAAAAAATCTAAAGCGAAAGAAAGCTTGTGGTAGCCTTCCTCGCTTCCAACTTGCCAGATGTCTCCCCAAGTTGTTACCCAACACACTGTTTGCCTCTGAGTCATAAGAAAGAAGGTTTATTTTAGCTACTAAAGGATGACTACTGCACAGTAAGATCTTTGCACTTCAATCTAACCATCCATTTTGACTACATTCTAGTTAATTGTATTAGAATATTAAAAAGACCACTAATGAACCAAACATTCAGCCTACAAGACTTTTTTTCCTTGTCGTTTTCACTACCTGATTATAAGACAGGTTTGCTGGAGAATTGAATGAGTGTTTTTATCTACTGACAGAACTTTGGGAACAAATTCATAACTGGTTCCTGCCACCTGAAAACCAAGCTGGCATACTATTCCCCCTTAGTCTAAAAGCTCTGTGACCTGAATCTTACTTATGTAACTTCAACTGGTTCTTATTTCTATGCTGCTCTCAGCAAGCCATTGCTAATATTATAAATCATGAATATTATAGAGAGACTGGAGTTGTCTCACACTGTTCATATTTAAGAACCTCATCTGCAACACTTCACCTAACAAATACATTTAAATTAACAATTCCATGCTTTAAAACTACCGCAGTTTAGTTTTCTATAGGTTTGTGTCTACTGATTGCTTGACTTTGGTGGCTCAGACAAATGAAGCCTTTCCTATGCCTTGCAGTGCCTATAAGGACCCAAACGAGGTAAGATCAATGAGTTAGAAATATTTTAGCACAGAGCTCATAGACCTCAAGCCTTATATGCTCAGGTAGACAGTATAAACATATTTACCCCAATTCTACATAAAACCAGGGTAAAATAAAACTAAGCTGAACACTGTGTATGTGGTATTCCATATTATGGTTCCTAAGAGCAGAGAATGGAAAGCTGGTTAGGGCAGGAGCAAGAAGAGAGACATAAATAGAAGATGGAAAGGCTGTAGTAAGCAGTAGCTCAAAGAGGCTGAGCTCTGCCTGCCAGTCAGTTTTATGAGCTCTCCTGACAACAGCAGCAAAAGCTTGCAAAGACATTACATTTACAGGGCATAGTCCCCCTTGAACAGATACAAGCATAACCCTGACAGTGTGAGCCTTATCAATGAAACTACAATGATACAAATTCCCTCATCTTACTCTGGTACTGTACAGATATGGAAGTCAATAGTTGTGATTCTCTCGTGTACTACAATACTGGAGACCATATAAATAACGAAGATGGTTAAAACCCCAAGGGGTACACTAATACTGTCCATGAGCCCAATTGTGTTTCTCCTCCGTTTTTTGGCTGAAACCAGTAGGAAAAGTCTACAGCATGGGCAAATATATTAGAGGTTATTTTTTCCCTAGCTTCTTGGTAAGCTGCTCAGCACTATGGGATGCTATGCCAAGTGGTAGTTAGGGAAGTCTGCTGCATTTGGGCGAGTTAATTACAGAGATGGAGGATAGCACGATGCCAAGTGGGAGGAAGGCTTCCCTCCAGAAATGGACTGTCAGCAGAATCAGGAGGAGATGTAATCAGTCATAGCTCGCCTTTACCAACCAAGAACAAACACAGATGTGGCTTTCAGCTTGCTGAATATTTTCTGCCATGTGACTTCATCAGATTTTTGGACTCTACATGAAACTCTTTTCTCAGACCTTTTCATATAGAAATAGGGTGCTTAGTTCTTTTAGAGGGCTCAAGTATTTCAGTTCACCTAAGTGGTTTTATTGTTCTAATAGAACGCTGACTATTTTGGATTTTTGGTCACTCTCTCTGATTCAGAACACAGTGATCTTACAGGTGGTGGCTAATCCTGACAGTATTCACGAGCACCTTTCTTTGAAGAAAATGTAGTAGTACTGGTACCAGTAACGGTGGGAACAGCTAGAGACATTCTTACTACTGGCACACACCTTCATCTCGGTGTGTTGGATACTGATTTCACATGCTGAGAGAGGTTATCAGAAGTGGGGAAGGTGGTGGGAGTTTATTTCCAGGTGAGCATGAACAATGAAACTGGAATCTGTGTCCTGCCTGTAATGAGCTCACAGCAGCGTGGCAAAGCAAGCAGACAGGCATATGCTTAATATAAGCAGCTTAAGTCTCAAGGACAAAGAACATGTGCTGACACACAACTTACAGTGCAGACACCTCTGCATCTGGGCACGGTAATGAGCTTGCGGGATGTGTCACACAGGGCGAGCAGCGCACGCGGTGCGGGAAGGGGTGTCGCGGCAAGCGCTCACACTCCGAGATCCACTCTCCCTCACGATTCCAGACCGGCCGTGCCGGGGGAGCACCGGAGGGGGAACACCGCGGGGGGGTCGCTGTGGTGGCACCGAGGGACCCCCTCAGGATCGGGCCCGCCCGGCCCCTCCGCCCCGGCCCCGCCCCGGCCCCGCCCCCTCCCCGCGGACCACGTGTCCCGCGCGCTGCAGCCCCGCCGCCGCGCAGGCGCCGTGCGCGCTCCCGCTGCCCGGCCGAGCCCGGGGCTCGGGATCAAAATGGCGGCGTCCGGAGCGGGGCCGGGCGGGAGCGGGCGGCGCTGAGCGGGAGGATGGCGGCGGCGAGCGGCTGCCGGGGTGAGACACCGCGGGGAGCTGGGCCGGCAGGGGGGCGCGGGCTCGGTGACGCGGAGGGGAAGGGGCGAGACCGTCGACGCCCCCGCGGCGGGGCTCGGAGCGCGCCCTGCCGGGCCGGCTGCGGGCAGCTCGTCCCGCCGCGCCGCTCCCAGCCCGCAGCTCCGCGGGGCCGCTCGCCGGGGGAGCAGCCCCGCTCCCCGCGCCGCTCCCGGCCCGCAGGGTCCGCGGTCCGGAGCGCCGGCAGCGGCCTCGGCTGTGCCCGTTCGCGCTGTCGGGTCCTGCCTCGCCCCCTGGCCCGGCGCCGCTCCCCGCGGAGCCCGCGGGCGGAGGTTGGGATCGTCTCCCGCAGGATCCCGTGCGGGCTCCTGTTCCCGCAGCCGCGGGGCTCCGGTCGTGTCCGGGCGGTGCGGGAGCGGCCGCCCTCGCCCGCTGTGGCCGCGGGGCTCTGACCGGGGCCGCTCAGCCCGGCCCGTGACAGCTCCCATGCCCTGCGACTGCTGCTGCCCCGGCACACCTGGGGCTTTTTGTCCCGCTCCTCTCCGCACAGGTGTTACCGCGGTGCTCCGGGACAAACTTGGAGGGAGAGCTTTGTTCGCGATGTGTTCACTCGTGCCTCTGGAATATTCCTGCTGCCGGTGGGATAAGTGCTCTCCTGTCGGTTCGTGTTTCTACTTGCTCTCCCCCGCCATCCCATTTGAGGCCGTTGGGTGAAAGATGACACACATGTCGAGTGCTAACATAAAATACGATAGTGAGATAATCAAATACGTGCTGGTACAATGGTACTTCATTTGTGTGAGAATTTAGTTTAGGCAGTGTAGCAGTGCTCGAGGCTTTGCTCCAAACCAGTGTAACATAATACGTAGTGTTTGACAGATATACCACTGGGATGTGATCAACCTCAGGTTTTACCACATGCTCCACGCTCCATTTAGAAATGGAGAAAATAAAACCAGAAACTCGGATACAAAATTTGTAATGCACGTAACTATTTTTGAGGCACTGAGAAACTTGAGGAGTTAAAGCTTTACCTTCTTTGTCTGAAAGATGTTAGGGAAGTAGGATGAGTCGTCTAAGGTTCTTTATTGTTTCAGATGTTTCATCCTACTTCTGTATTAGCATCCCTCTTAGAGAGAAGCAGGGAGGGGAATTCCTTCTTAGATCCTTCTCTTTTGCTTAAGAAATCAATGAAAATATTTCTTCCTCCTCCCCTTGTTGACTAAGAGCCTGCTGCCAACATAACAAAATTATAGGAAGTATTTATGAGGGTGTGGAAGAGGAGTCTTTTAGTAACATACACACATGGACCATGGTGTTTACAAGGCAAGGTCTGAGTGCTCATTTTGTAGAATATCTGGATAAAGGTAATGTATGGAGAAAGTATGGCTTGTAATGTTTTCGCCTCACTTGGAATAATTTGCTTCTAACTAGACCTAGTCGGTGGACCAAAGCATAATTGAGCCATTTAAGAACTTGCTCCTTTGCTGCAGCAAATAATGTTCTGCAAACATTACTGTCTGTTCGTGCTTATATGTAAACAAGTGAAGAACGTGTTAGTTAATCAAGCTTGTATCTTAAGTTACAACACGAAGCCCACATTTTTTTAAAATCAGATCTAAAGTTAGACTTGCATAGTTGGGCTGCATACAGGTAATCATGGAAATAGAGTTCAGTGGTTTGTGTCGAATGTGGAGCCAGTGTTTGTTTTTGTTCACTGGAGATGAAAACAGCTGTTGAACCCTTTGTATTTCAGTTCAGCTGCACTAAGCATTGTTTTTCTTGCTTTCAAACTTTAGCCAATGTATAAATGGGTTTGACATTCTAATCTAGTTTGTATGCTTAAGCATACAAGGAGCACAGACACAAGTCATCTTGGTTCATTTACTGTGGCATTGCTGTAATTGTTGCCATTTTAAATCCTTGCCTCTTACTTTAGTAAGTGGATTTTCTTTATATGTCCAGATTCCCTTGCTGAGTCATAGATACAGTGGTGCTGTAATGCTTATAGGCTGGCATGGACTGATTTGCAAGGAGTCATACATGAAAGAATAGAATTGTTTTTATAAGCTCTCCTGGGAGACTTGCATGGACTTGTCATAGTGATTTTTAAATTTTTTTTTCCCCTCTTGGTTTTCAAGCTTGTCTTAGAAGCTCAAAACTTTGTGTTGTGAAGGTATGTTGCTTGTGGTTAAATTAGAGTAGAATGTTCTGTCTTTGCAGGCAGCTCTTTGAATTTAATTCAGTGGGACTGCCAGAGCTTGATGAATTAAGAACAAAATATTGAGTCTTCATTTTGGAAGCGGCCTTTCAAGTTGCTGTTTACAGGATGTCGGGTTTACAGCTATCACTGATGACAGTTAACCTCGAGGCTTGCAGGGGATGAATTTTAGGCTAGGACAGTGTCTTCCTCCACTCTGTTTTGCAGGCTGCATTGGTGTTGTGGTGTCTTGGGGTCCTGCACGTGGCCAAAGGAGAAGGTGGGGCATTAGCCCTGCCCCTTCTGCCACCCTGATGCTCGTTTATCTTGATAGGTCAGACCACATGCAAGAAAAGGAGGATGTATTCTGATGTCTTAGGTGCACAGGGATGAGCAGGATAGTTGTGGCTGGCTGCCTTTTAGAGACAAAAAGTAAAATGAATCAAAACAACCTATTGATATTTCACATGGAATACGTGTAGTTCACATTAATCAGAAGATCTGTAGGTAAATTGTGAGATTGCACTTAAGAAATAACTATATTCTTAGTAATATTGATGGGAATCTGCTCTTACAGAAAATCTTGATAGCTGTGAGTTTAAATTTTCTCTTTGATTGTTTGGGTTTTCTCTTGACATGTTTACATGGCTTTTGATTTCTGTTATCAGATCCATATCTTTTACCATTTTTTCACATTAGTCTGAAAACCTGGTGCAGAAACTTTATTGTACATGCAGTGAGGACAGCGAATCCTAGTTCAAATGTGAGTGTTAGATGAGCTTCCAGTGAGTCATCTAGTTATTGCTTTGTTTCATTTCCCAGGTTCTTTGAAGAATAAATCTTGTCAATGTGCCTTTAAATCTTTGGACAACAGCTATTGCAGATTTTTAGAATGCTCTTTCATATCTTGGCTTACCAGTATGCCTGAACTATAAGAAGAAGGGACTGTAGATGCCATGTTTGATGCTAGTCTTGCATTTGGTACCTATCCAATTGTCATGTATGTCTGCCAAGAAGAATGACAACTGTAGTGATGCTAGGAGATCTGAAATCCTTGCATGTTTTGTGTAAAAACAGTGAAAATTGTGAGAGCGGAAATGGGCAGGAAAGAAAATGTATCAGAAGGAGTTGAATATCACTGATGGTGTATGCAACATTTATTGCATACCTTGATGTCTGAAGTTCTGTAAAGTTTTAGCAATTTGCTTTCATATTCTCTGACAGTGGTCTTTTAGTTTCCAGTATTCAAGTAAAGAGACCAGGTCATGTTACAGGTTTACCTGAAACTAAAGGGAACCTGAAGTCCTCTTTTTTTACTCTGTCCTTGAGACTACAACAGATACTTTCTGGCTTTATAAGGATGCCTGTGAGGTTCTTGATAAGTCCTTAATGATACAAGTGTCTTAAAAGCTTGCACTCCTCAGCTGCTTTTTTCCTGCTTCTGCACAGCTCCCTTAGTTGTACTGGTGAAGTTGTTTATGTGTTGTCCGCGTTTCAGCTGGGATAGAGTTAATTTTCTTCCTAGCAGCTGGTACAGTACTGTTCTTTGGATTTAGTATGAGAATAATGTGGATAACAAGCTGAAGGTTTAGTTGTTGCTGAGCAGCACTTACCCTAAGTCAAGGACTTTGCAGTTTCCTGTACTCTGCCAGTGAGGAGCTGCACAAGAGGCTTGGAGGGAGCACAACCAGGACAGCTGATCTGAACTGGCCAAAGGGATAGATATTCCACACCATAGACTGTCACACCTAGAATATAAACTGGGGGCAGTCAGCCAGGAGGGGCCAGTCACTGCAGGGGGATGAGCTGGGCACTGGTCAGCTGGTGATGAGCAATTGTACTGTGCATCAGGTGTTCCTCTTGGATTTTATTTCATTCTCTCTTTTTGTTGTCTCCCTTTTCATTACCATTATAATTATAATATTATTATTGTATTTTATTTCAATTACTAAACTGTTCTGATCTCAAACCACAGGTTTTAATGTGTTGTTTTCTTTTGTTCTGATTCTCTTCCCCATCCCATTGGCAGGAGGAAACTACAATAGGAATGCCTATGAGGTTCTTGATAGATGTTTAGTGGCAAAATTGGCTTTAACACTTTAAGTCCACAGCTGCTTTTTCTTACTTCTTGCACAATCTCCTCAGCTGTGTTGGTAGAGCTGTTTACATGGCTTCACTCTGAAATATTGCAGGAGATTGATCTGTCTGAAAAATAAACCACTGAAGCACAGAATAACTTCACAGCAGGACCCTCATCTGGGGCATCGTGTTTCTGTGGGAAGTCTGCTTGCTAGCACAGTGTAGGGGCAAGGTCAGGGAGGTAAAGGGGATCGGGGTGGAACTCCGTGGCCTGAAATGTCTTGGATTCCAGTACATACATAACTATATACTTAGTTAAATTTAAATATGATTTGTTTGCTCTGTTGGCTGTTAAGTGTTGTTCAAGTTCACACCAAACATTACTGAATGTGAACGTTAACAACTGGTAGCCTTGCAGACGTGTTCAGCTCATTGGGAGTTTTCTATA